GACAGACTCTAAGAACAAAGCTTTATAGATATGCTTCAGCCCACTAAAATGCAGTTTACTTTTACCCAACACGTTCAATAAAATTATAACGCTATAACCAATCGTTTCGAAACTGTTTAAAAGCCATAAAAATAAAGTGACGAAGAACCTAATGAAAGACTACATTCGATTTCCTATCCGTTCCGGCTTTCCCAACATCTACAAAATTAATTAGTTTCCCCGCGCCCACTTGCCCGAAACATGCCTTTAATTGAGGGCTATTGAACCTTGCACAATATTTTCATAATTCGGGAGAAGATCTATCTGGCGGATACTGCGAGTAGGGAGATCTTAGTGAGCAGGAAACTTGGGAGGCTGCTGCTGCTGCTGCGGCTAAATGCCATTTATAGCTACAAATGTGAACTGACGCTGGCGACGACGTTGGTGGGTTGCATAATGGCGCATCCGCGTCGTCGTCAGTTTGGCTGTCTAGCCCAATAGCATTTGGCGCGTCTAGGCGGCTAATTAGGATTTAGAAACATCATCAAATTTAGAAATGCACCCGAAATAAACCGAAGGCGACTCTGTCGGCTGCCTGCGGCGGTGGAGTAGGGATAATAAATGGAATAAATGCGTGAAAATGTTCCCCGATCCACGCCGATCCGAAAATAAACCCAATGTACACCCCACACCGCCGAATTGCTGCTTCAGTTGAAGTTGCGCCGACAAAATGTTGACCCCAATTTAACTCAATTTTCGTGTTGCTTTGTTTGTTTTCCATCTTTTCGCAGAGCCGCCACGAGAATGGCAATGGAGAAGTCGGAGGAGTCAGAGGAGGAGGTGCCGAAGGAGTGGGCCACGATCTGGAGGCGGATGTGGCGGATGCCAGTCAGCCGGAGCGTGTTTGGCTGGTGCATCGCGGTGGCTTCACTGCCGCCATCCGTCTGCCGACCCCATCTGCTGGCCGGGATGAGGAGCACAAGCTCAGTCTGCGCCTCCTGCATAATGGCGAGCAGCTGATCGTCGACGAGGACGACGTGGAGAAGCAGAACAGCTCCGCCCTGGACCTCGCTGAGGACATCTGCGAGCTGAAGTATCTGAACGAGGCGTCCGTGCTCCACTGCCTGCGCCAGCGCTACGCCAGCAATCTGATCCACACCAAGGCGGGGCCCACGCTGCTCGTGGTCAATCCCATGGCCCCACTGTCCCTCTACTCCGAAAAGGTAGGGCCAGCCAACTGGTTACTGCTCTGAGCGGGTTATTTATCGGCTGCCGTCTCTCGTCCGTAGGTTGTCTCCATGTTCCGCGGCTGCAAGACGGAGGACATGCCGCCCCACGTCTACTCGCTGGCCCAGACCGCCTACAGGAGCTTGGTCGAGACGCGGCGCGACCAGAGCTTGATATTCATGGGTCGATCTGGTTCTGGCAAATCCACCAGCTTCAAGCATGCGCTCAACTACCTGGCGTTGGCAGCGGGTATGTCTAGACCGTGCTGCGTTTGCAGCATTTGGGCTACATTGTCGTGGCTACTCCCACTCCCACTCGCACTCGCACTCGATTTGCAGTTGCATTTGTTGTTTGTTGGTTGTTTTGCCTTCTGGCCGTAGGCTGCGGACTGCGAACTGCGAACTGCTGGCTGGCCCAGTTTGCGCTGTGCCACACCAAAATGCAATCTGCGTTCGATTGGCTCATTTGCATTGTTGGCCAAGAAATGCAGCTGCAATTAGTCAAGCCTCCAATTCGGTTCCATTGTTAGATTTATGACCCAAAAAGGGGAACAGTCTAATGAAAATGTAAATTGCCAAGATACATATTATTGATATTCATTTGTGTTGAGCAACTTATAATGACCAATAAAAAAAAAAACAAAAAACAAATGAAAAGATAACTTTACTGACGTATACTTTGGATTTCGTTAATAAACTCTTGAATATTTTAATGGCTTAAAATAAATATGTGGATTATCGATGTCTACTTTGCTTTCTTTGTAATAATATTCAACCTATATAAAAAACCTGAATATTGTATACCTTTTTAACGTTACCGTTTTTTATTGATTCTTCGTTAATGAATTCAGCGAGAACTGAAACCACAACAAAAGATATTAAACATTCATATGCACAAAATTATTGTTTTGTTGATAAATAGAAATCAAAAGATACTTGAATTACTTTATAAGCAATAATCGTTGTTTTGAAAAACAATAATAACTATTTCTGTTACTGTTCTTTAGGTGCCTATAACAATTTCATTAATGCGGAGAAGGTCAATGCCCTGTGCACGATTCTAGAGGCTTTTGGAAATACGAAAACTTGCCTCAACTCGAATGCCACTCGGATGACGCAGCTGTTGAGCCTGGATTTTGACCAAACCGGCCAGATTGCATCTGCTTCATTGCAGGTAAGTTTTTATTTACAACGGCCATTCATATAGTTTTTTTTTACCCGGTTTCTCGCTCAGGTTCTGCTTCCAGAGCGACAGCGAGCTGGTCGTCGATTGGGACACGAGCATAGTTTCCACATCATGACGCGCCTTCTGGCTGGCGCCGCCGGTTTGCTGCAGAAGGAGCTGCACCTGGAGAACATAACCTCCGAGGACAGCCACCCGTTCATATCGCTTTCCCAGAAGCTGGAGGACCGCCATCGAGCGGCCAATGACTTTATGCGCACGGTTCAGGCCTTCGAGACGCTGAACATTGATACCAAGGCGGTGCGCGGCATCTGGAGCATTCTGGCAGCCATTTACCATCTGGGCATTGCGGGTGTCACTAAATTGGGCACTGGCTCGACAGCCCGCACTCAGTTTGCCAATCCCACGGCCGCCCGCAAGGCGTCGGGCTTGCTGGGGGTGAATCTAGAGGATCTGTCGTCGGCCGCCTTCGGTCTCACACAGCCCAATGCCCCCAATGGCGGTCTAAGTCCCTCGAAGTCGCCCACCTCGGACAATGGACACGAGTGGGCCTGGGAATGCCTAGAGGCGTTGGTCATTGGCCTCTACTCGGAGGCTCTGGCTGCGGTGGTGGCGTTGGTCAATCGACAGATCTGCACTTCCGCCCACACCATTGCCTCAATTATGCTAATCGACACGCCCGGCTTCCAAAATCCGGCGAGCTGTGGCCAGCAGGTGGGCGCAACGCTGGCCGACCTGCGCCACAACTACCTGCAGGAACGCCTGCAGATGCTCTTCCATCACACCACGCTGGTGGCGCCCCGCGATCGATACGCCCAGGAGCTGGTGGAGATCGAGATGGACCAGGCCTCGGAGTGCCATCCGGGTCCACTGATCTCTCTGATTGACAAGGCGCCGCAAAACCATGTAGTTCGTTCATCCCAGCGAGATTTACGTGATCACGATCGTCGGGGCATGCTATGGTGAGTTAGCTAATTTCGCTTCGTTTTTATCTCGGCAATTCATTTTATCGATCTACGTTATAGGCTGCTGGATGAGGAGGCCATATATCCAAACTCCAACGATGACACATTCCTCGAGCGCCTGTTCTCACACTACGGTGACCGGGAGCATCACACGCTGTTGCGCAAGTGCGCCGGTCCCCGGCAGTTTGTACTCCATCATCTGCAGGGCACCAATCCGGTGCTCTATGCCGTTGATGGCTGGGTGCGGCATAGTCGCGAGCATCCGGGCATTCGGAATGCCGTGTCCCTGCTTCAGGACAGCAGTCGGGAGGAGATCAACCGCCTGTACATTGGCTCACTGACTCGCGGTTCGGGGGCGATGGTGTTCTGCGGCTCCTTTGCTGGATTGGAGGGCACTCAGTCTCTGCGGCGCGTTTCCAGTATTCGTCGCTCCTTTACAACGGCCGGAGTGAAGCGCAATTCCATCATGCTTCAGGTGAAGTTCACCGTGGACGGAATTATCGATACTTTGCGTCGCACCGGCACCCACTTTGTCCACTGCTATCTGTTGCAACACAACGCTGGCAAGCACACCAAGTTCACAGCAAATGGATCGCCCAGTTCTGCTGCGGGTCACGCGGTTAGCGAGGAGGAAATGGTCAATGTGCCACTGTTAAGGAGTCAGGTAAGCTTTAGCTCACTCGGATGAAGTGAAGCATATTCGACCATAATAAAAATATTTAACTTGGGTTTCGTTGAACTTTATTGCTTGAATTGAAAGTGGATGAAAGTGAATGAAAACCAAAAATGGTTTAACAATATAAATTTATAAATTTAAGCAATAAATATATAATGGTTTATTTTCTTTGTCTCACATAGCTACGTGGCTCGCAAGTCCTAGAAGCAGCTCGTCTGCATCGCCTTGGTTTTCCCGAATCAGTGCCATTATTGGAGTTTGTCCGTCGCTTTGGCCTTTTGGCCGGCGACTTGGCCAGCAACAAGGATGTCAGCGTTGAGCAGATATTAGCAGTCAATGAGCTGGATGTGGCCAGTTACCGCATTGGACCTAGTCAGGTGAGTCCTAGAATTTTTTGTGTAAGGTGTATACGCTACAGTAGGTAGCGTAGGTTGATGCATAAAAGATACAAATTTACGTTGCTCAAAGCTAGTTACTTTAATCTCGTGGATTAAATATTTTTAAAAGTTGAATTTTTGATTCAAAAAAATTTGTGAGAAGCTTCAAAAAGCAAAACATTTTTATTTATAGCGCAAAACGTTCCACATACGAATTATTGCACAATTTTTTTGCAATAAATAATAAGAAATTGCAATTTATAAATGCATTGTGGTAGTTAGGCTAACAGGTTTTGGTGTATTTGTCTATAATATAGATTTTAGTCGTAATTGCTTATATTGGTGTACTTGCCGGCCGATGAACCAGTTTGATTGGTCTCTCCTCCTCAAGTTGGTTTTCGATCTCACGTTGAAGGCAATTCCTATCTAATTGTTTTTATTCACGCGTAATTAGTCGCTTAAAGCAAAGAGTTGACATTGACTTAACACGTTCAATAGTTACTGGAAATTAAGAAGGGCAAAATAATCATGTTCGAGAGATAAGATTGAACTTGGGGCATGGTCCAGTTTCATTAAAGGAATATCAAACAGATCTCAAGTGTAAAATAATCTTTGCTTTATTCGCATTCTTTGGGCATACCGGTCTTAGCTTAGGCTATAATTAAATATGCTGATAAATCACATTTTGGTCAATTCTCATCTCTGGCTTCTGATCTGGGCTTTTACCCAAGTAGAGGACGATTTGCCGTCTTCCGAATTGTTGTCGGCCGGGGGCGTCGAACGTGGACCAGTCCATCGGCGGTGCCGTACGGAGCTCGTGGCCGTGTGCTCAGGTAGAAAATGCCCCTCTTGGGAACCGCCGGCTCGCCGCCCATGAACTCGTCGCCACTGCAAGTCTGAGCTGCATGCTTTTGGCTGCCAGCGCCGCTGCAGTTGCAGGTGGCCGAGATCACCGACTGCGCCGAGCTGCAGCGCAAGGCGGCAAACGATTTGGGCTGACGCACTGACTCGGCAAAGTAGAACATGGCCGCAAAGTGGTCGCACACAAAGTCAAACTCCGTGGCCGTGGCGTTGGGACAATGTGGCTGCCCCAGGCCCCAGTTGGCGAAGAAGGAGGCGTGGCTGAGCTTGGTGCTCGGATTGCCCAGCAGCGTTAAGTCCGTATGAATGGACTCCACATACGAGGCATCGTTCACGTCCAGCCGCTCCTCGGGTCCCAAGCTCAGTTGAGTGAGACCAGCGGGATCCAGGGCAAAAATGGCACCCAACCGCTGTGGCTTCAACAACTTTCCGGTCAAACCGGAGATGTGACTCCCGGCACTGTGACCCACCAAGTAGATTTGCTCGTATGGAACCCCCGTGTTATCGTGCAAAAATCGCAGCATTTTTGCCACATTGGCCGCTATCGAAGGAAGCTGCTTGGACACACGCGGATAGCTGAAGTCCATCGCCTGGCGACTCCAGTCCAGAATTATGACGTTGTAATTGCCCCGGGATAAGTAGGCATCCTTGATGGCGGCATTAGAGCAGGAAGTACCCTTTCCCGCCCAGCCATGAATAGAAACCCTAAAAAATAAAATATTATATATAGGAGTTTTGTAATTTGGTGCTTAAATCTTTGGCGAAAGACTTCTAAACAAGATTTGTTGTATAACTAGTAATCCCCATAGGATCCATTTCATGTCTCGAAATTATTTCCAATAGACTTAAACCTTTTGCCTTACAAATTTTATACCTATTCAAATTGAAATTGCAAAATAAAATTTAAAATCTCTGTGAATATGTTACATTAATTCATTCCAAACAAAAAAAATTTCATAATATACGAAATTAAAAAATTATTTTAAAATTGGAGTAATTGTGAGAACTGATTTGTTATAATAAGATCAATAATAATCAAAAGAAAAGACTACTTGTCATTTCGGTATTAAAAATCAAAAACCAAACCTATTTTCGGCACTTTCAGAACTTGAGGCTACAAAAACCCATTTTGAACTTTATTAAATTTGTTCTCTTACCTCACTGGCCATTTGGGATTGAAGTGTGAGTTCTTTAGCATGCCGATATCTCCTGGTCGCAGCAACTGACGCTCCTCCGGATTAAGAGGCGTGTAGAGCTCGTACTGCAGCAGCTTGGATTGCGGCGGGCGTCGTCTTCCGAGGAGGATGCCGGTCTCGGTGTTGAGCATTGCCTGTATTACATCCGAAATGGTTACCTCGCACTTTCCGGGCGCGTAGGCAAAATATTGGGCAGACACAGTCACTGGAAGAGCAGATGGGTCAATACTTGCAGATTGAACATTAATGTCGGATTGGGGAGATCGAAACTCACTTCCCGCTGCGCCAAGAAGCAGCAGCCAAAGCCACCAGCTTAATATATGCATTCCCGTTAACGATCCCATAAACCGCACTGGTCAGAGCCAAAAACCCGATGACAATTCACGACAAGGCGTCAATTAAAATCCACTTAAGTGCGATTTAAGGTATTCTGTTGTTTTTCGAATTTCTGTCTTAATTCGCGATCCAAATTTTATCACTCGCTCGTGCCGCTCACTAAAAGAACGTGAAATTTCTGAGCGGTTTAGAGCAGAGCAGAGCAGAGCAGATCAGAGCCTGGCCGTATACCTCCGAATCGTTACAAGCTTCGAGCCGAAGTACTGCAAGATTCTAGACGGAGGCTTGGTTAAATAAAGCCCGCTGCGTTTGCGTTCTGTCTCTGCCGCCGGAGAGCGGCAAGGGCGGCCTACCAGCAGCGGCAGCAGAGCGGTCACTCTCGTGATGAACGGCCATTAACTGGTTGTTCCACTGCAGTCGAACCCCTCACGGCAATTGCAGTGGCAGATAGACACGGAGAGTGTTTGCCTGCACTTCGCAAACACTCCACAGATTGTCAATAAAAGGACGCCGAACAGAACACCCAGTCGATGGGGATCAATGCTAATTTTAGCCGCCATCTAAACGAGACAGCGTGCGATGATGAGGCTCGATAGGCTTTCACTGACCGCACTGGGCTGCCTTAAGCTATTCATTTATGCCTTTATTATAAATGTTTTTTGTAGCATAATATAATAGGCACACGCATATGTTTGGCTGATTTACAGTTGCCGGTCGATAGCTGCCATCACCAGTTGGTTGATCTTTACCAGCTTGCTTGCTTATACAAGTCTGCCTGGGGTATCATTAATATTAATTAGAAAATTATCAAAGACTGAGTGAATAAAATAACCTGTCGTTTAAAAAATGGATTGTTTATTGCAACGTGATTGATATAATGAAATAATTTAAATAATTGCACGGCAAATAAAAAACTAGTACGTAAATGCATTTGTATCGTCCTAGTCACATACAGAAATTATAAGTAATTATTTATTAATCATTTGTTATATTGCACCGATCATTTCTAGTTAGATCAAACACTTATTGTACACCAGTTAACTCAAATTCCCAGTTGATAAAATTGGGTTTGTAAACAGAAAGTCTCGAGTCGTTGATCTCACTTAGAACTGGGCACCTCCACACTTTTCACCTGTTTCTGTCGAAATGCGGCTCAGATTTAGGTGTTTGGGCCAAGAGCTTCCAAATGTGTTAGGGTTCAGCCCAGCAATCGGGACTTGGAACTTTCAGCTGTTTTGCAAACCATTTAGCAGGTATTAAGTTGCGTTTACGACTTGCCTGGCTCTTCTTCTGTGTTATTTTTGGTTAAAACTCATTCATGCTCATGTTAACATGTATGTGAGTGTGTTTTTTATTTTTAAAGATCGTTAAACCCGTGCGTGGCGTATGCCATTGTCGTGTGTGTAGCACACACACATCTCGCGCCGACTTGTTACAAAAAGTTTATTGACAGGATTTACGTTTTAAGGCAAACACATAATATGTGCTTATTGTTATTATGGTTATCTCAAACGAAACGAAACGAAACGAGTCACAGCGCAATCTGTTGGCATTGTTCCGTGTATTTGTCCAAACAATTTGCTGTTACTTTCAATCTAATCGAGAAATTACCTTGGAACTCGACGGATGTCATTTTTCAGTCGAAAAGTATTAAAACGTTTCTCCATCTGCAGTCTCCTGTAATTGTTTGTGGCATGCGAACAATCACCTCCTCGTCAGGACCGCTTCATTAACTTGAACCTACTCTGCAATTATTATATTAAATGGGCACCTCTCAATCATCACGATCCCTTTCTAGATGGAAACACACAGCAGCGTTCGCATTTTGAGGAAACCTAAAACTGGTTACTCGTCTGCACACAAAGTAAGCGTGACTGGACAAATAATGGCACGTTTGATTTGTTTCCAGTCTCTTTCACCAAAGTAGTGGGCTCTTCCTTCAGCTTATAATCAAATTAGAATATATTAAAGTTCTTGAATAATTTATGTCTGAAATTAATACCAATTCACAGTGATGTTGTGTGGATTTACTTCCCTATGAAATCTTAAAATTAAAACGAGAACTTTGCGTCTTTTTTATATAACTATTTCGTAAGTAAGATATTTTAAACGCACATGGCAGATTTTGTTGAAATGTGCTTGGACAAAAAGAAATTTATTTAAGTTTGTTGTGTATTTATGACTCTTCTAAGAAGTTCTTTAATTTTTTATCTGTAAGGAAAATGCAAAACGTGAAAATATAAAACGCGAAAGACAAATTTTATGGTCTTGCAGCTGTAGCGATAAATTATTTTTGAACCTAGTCTAATGGATAGCTTTTTAAACCCTTACATGCCTTTTAAACTGTGCACGAAATTATATTCAGATCTCATATAAAAAACACTTTCTTGGGCAATCACTCATGTTGAAAGCTAATTATCATTATGACATGTACTTTAAAAGTCTGACCATCTATTTAAAGGTCTAAGTACTTGAATGTCATTTTGAAGACTTTATTTCCTGAGGAAATACTTAAATATGTTTCATATTACAAAACCATTTAATATAAAAGTGCTGTTAATCAGAGATCTATGTAAATCTCACAAAATAAGCCCTAGAATACTAGAATATTTTGCTACCTGGCTCTAAAAGGATGTCCCCGACTGTGTTTGCTTCCTGGGAAGATATCGGTTACATGCAACATCTTTGGATTCACTTGGCTGCCCGCTTGGGTTTCTTATTTCCTGTTTTCAGCGCTGCAACTGTGAATCGATCTGTACTTTCGGACTCTGGTTGGTCAGCATTCAGTGGTTGCTGGTCAGTGAAGTGATCGTAATAAAACCACTTTGACGTCACTTGCGACCAGTCCAGTTTGTTCGTCTTCCCACCTCCGCGACTCTTTCTCCGCTGGGCGATGACGCTGGCTGCTTTCACGGTCAAGTTCATCTCGCCATTGTTGTTGGCGGCCTGGGGGTATAGAATTCCCCAGATGTAATCTCTGCGCCTGCAAGATGCCACTCAGTCGGACTTTGCGAATGGAAATCGCCTGAGCTATCCCCAAGATGTGGTCGGATAAAAGCGCAGTTTGTTTGCCGTGGAGCGGCAACGCGAGTATCGCCCGATCATCCCACAAAAGTGTTCAGCTCCTAGGCTTTTTTTGTGGCGAGGGGCAGGAGCTGGTGCTGGTGCCCGAGCCAATCCTGCTGACCATTGGCTGCGCTGTCGGTGCCCTCCTCTGCATCTGCCTTGTACGTACGGGAAAGTGTCCAAATCCGAATCCAAATCCGAATCCAAAACCAATACCGATTCCCCCGATTATGATTACGAACACACGCACGGCGGCATTGTCGCCTTGCCGACTTTCACCAAAAAAAAAAAAAAGAAAAAAAAACGGCAACCAAAACAAAAATCGAAAATGACGTTGCAACCTGCATTCGCCTCACTGGGAAACCACATTTGACCAGTGCACATTAAAATTTCGTTAACCAAAGTGAAATTTTCAGCGTTCGCTTTCATTAGAAATAGGGAGTGGTTCATGGCTGATGGTTGCCCGGCTTTGCCGAACGTGATTATTATATAACTCGGTGTTGAGGCGGGTTCTGTCAACGCCACGAAGCGGCGAAGAAAGGGGGAAATACCTTTTAAATTAGCTTTCCCAGTCGGATGGATAGGAAATTAAAAACCCAAACCAAACGCAATCGAGACACGAAAATTTCATTAACGCCTCCCTTTGGAAGGGGGCGCGGCCAGGCGTCTTTAGCTTAAATCTCCATCCACCCAGTCGAGCCCTGCTTACTATATATGTAAACTAGTTTTTAATTATGAAACAATAACCAGGAAGCTGCATGAAATGCGTTTCGAACGGACTCTGTAATCTCTTCGACATTTGCGGGACTTGTTTACTTCGGTTATGTTTCTACTAATTGCCTCAATTTGTGGCCACAAAATCTGTAAGGGAAGCCCCAATGACATCGTTACAGCAGCTTCTGTCACGATCATGGCAATGATGACTGCGGGGGATCAAGGATTTCCTGATCTTAAAATGCGACGTGCATTGGTTTTAAAGATTTTGTGATCTTTATTAAGGTTTAGGGCAAATCGTAGTAAGAGGTCAATGCAATTATTCAACAATATAATAACAAATTGAATGATAATTATTTTGAATTTGATATTTGTAAATGGTATCTTGAAATCCCGGTTTTCGTTCCGTTCGTTATTTCATCTAAAAGGTGTTCTAAGTTGAAACTATTTATTTAATATCATGCATAACCTTGCAGTACCTTGTTATTTTCCCTAACAAGTGTTAAATAAGTTGTAGGCATTTATTTATTTGCACTCTTTACCTTACATCACAGATTAGAAAATAATAAATACTAATAAGTTACTTCTGGTTCTTATATGCAAACTACCAATTAAGAGTAACAACCATTTGAATGGATGTTGATGTTTTACCTAATGGTATTTGTGTTGTAATTAATAAATACAATTTGGCTTTGTCGATAATAACTTAAATTTTGGTATTATGGAGTTATGTTATTTGATATGCACTTTGATAAAGTCAAACTAAAATCCTATTTAAGCGATCTGGTTAACGACCTTTCAACCGTGTTGCAACCTCTAAAGTCTAGACCACTTCGGCCTATACCAATATTTATTTGTCCCCAATGAGCATGGCACTTTTGCCCTGCCCATCCGTGGATCGCTTTGAATCTTTTGTGTGGCAGTCAAAGCGAGTCCAATTGATGGCAATGAAAGGGCAAAATGGAAACACAAATAAAAGCCGGCCGAGGGCATTTCCAGACCTAGTCCATTGCCTCACTTGTTACGCTTTTCTTCTTGCAATTGCCTTGATGGCTGGCGATGTTGTGACTAATTATGCTGGGTAGCCGCAGGTCGATCATGTGTGGCCAATTGTTGTTGGTGCTAGTAATTAGCATCATTTGTCCAGCCTGAGGATCGGTTGTTGGTGGTTGGGGTTCGCTGCCTGGTGCACTCGCTCGCCCCTTTCCCTCAACCAATTACCAATGGCCGCGACCTCAGCCAAGTTTGTGTTGTGCTGTTGTTTTGCGTTGTTGTTTTGAGCTGTGTTTATGTGCCAGCCGTTTCTCGATAAGCCACTTTCGAATGCAGAGCCAGCATTTGGCTTGGACTCCGACTCGGACTGCGTCTGCTTGAGCCAGCCAATTCAGTTGCGTTGCCGAGCCCGAAGAGAAAACACCATACCACATCCGAGAGCACATCCGAGAGTTGCCGCCGCCCAAGCCGTGAAAGTGGTGGCCAGTCGCCAGTTG